ACCTCCATGGTCTGAACAAACCAAAAGATATTTCCACTGCTTCAGCTTTAATTTCCCAACCATACACCCACACACACACACACACACACACACATAAATACAGACAAATTTCTCACATTTACAGTATATCTATCTAGCATTTAAAAATAGCTAGGTAATTCACAAACAAGAACTGACCTTGATTTAGGTATGTTGTTACCACCAGTACTGGTTCCCCACAAAGCACAACCAGCACCCCAGCTATTGATGTTCAGAACTACGATACCTCCGATTTCAGGTAACTGAACCGCAGCGCCGTCCAATTCCAACTGCAATTAACGAATAAATTATGAACATTTTCACTAAAAGCAGACATCCAGTTTTTATACTGTTGGATTGGATTGCTATACACTTCGCTGTTATATAACAAAATACTACCGGTACTGTAAAATACTTTCACGGAAAAGAATTTTTGGGTGTTTTGTATGGAGCTGGATGGCTATACACTTCGCTGTTACTCAGATTATGGAGTACTATAAAGTTGTCTCAAGAGGGCGCTATAACAAAATACTACTATCCTCGGGGGCGGAGTTACGTCACAGACGTTCTACGTTGCTAAGACGTGCACCACTGTACCACGTATTTCTATGGACTTTGTGCGCGCTGCTGTGGAACGCCGGTGGAGCCGGTGAAAACTCAAGAAAACAACACAAACTCAACTTTGAAGTAATCCTGAACCACCAAATTCATATATGTTACACACGTAGGGCTCATCTTATTACACTGTTCAGGGGACTCTCAACAACCATCGCAAAGTACCGTTTTCTGCGAGTTTTTGGTCTTTGTTTTCACCGCGAGGGTTGCCAGGCGGTAGAAAATGCCCGGATGTCCGCCCCCGAGGATAAAATACTTTCACGGAAAAGAATTTTTGGGTGTTTTATATGGATCTTATTTCCACTGGTTTTGATGAGTTAGATGTAAAAAGAAAAGAAAAAAGGTATATTCATTCATATTTTAACTGAATTTTTTTTTTAGCAAATAGCAAAGTGGAATAAAAGTATTTTAGAGCAACACTGTATTAGTGATGTCTGACAGGACAAAATGCTCCTCATACAAGAAACTAAAAGAAAATTAACCGATGACACAAACTATGTTTACTACACAAGTTTCCTGGCAGTGGCTGAATTTTATCAAATTAAGGCAAGATTTTTCTAGACATTATCAGTTTTTAAAAACTACCCTATATTTTCAATAAAATAAGATGCTATGAGCATTATCGATCTGTTTTTAGCAACTTACTGTAACTTTCTTATGAAAGTTCTTGCATTCCTGTTCCAGAAGCGCATCTCTAGCTCCAAAAAAGAAGTACCATATTTTATTGATAACACGATTCTTAAACCAAGATGGCCGACTCTCCCTCTGACGATGAAATTTCAGTGCAATTGATGCATCACAACCCAATGAGAAATAATTGGTCATTGACAGCGCCTAAAATGATATAAAACACACACATTTTTACAGATATATAATAATCCTATGAATTTATTTATTAATTTCAGAAATTTAGATTTCTAGAGGTACTGACACAAAATAAAACAAGAAGAGTTGAAAACAAGCCAGCATCAGGAGTTTGGTGGCAAAACCAATAAATTTTTAATATTATGCACCAATCACATTTGAAGTACTAAATAGATTTCAGGCTAGACCCTCAAAAACTTATTCCCAGAATCTTTCAAGATAAAAATATGTTTTTACAAAAACGCACAAGAAACTCTAGTTTTAACCAATAAGTGATTTGTGTAAATGTCATCCAGTGATCTTCCAAACAAAAAAACAAAAATTACATTTGAAAATTTTACAAGTTGGAAATTTGCAAGCAATTATTTTTTCAGGCCTGGCCTTACATAAACCCTCACACTAATCCTACTGGTCAAAGATAGAACAGCGCCCTCGGGTGACAGGAAGGCAGGTGACACAGTCCAGTAATAACAGAAACGAGGTTAACATTATTAACAGATAAGACTGGAATTATGCAAGTTTTTCAGATATTTAAAAAAAGTCAGTGCTCAAAACTTTAGTTCATATATGTGCACAAGTTGCACTTTCAGAAAGTAGTTTTTTTTTGTTTTTTTTTTGTATAATCTTTTTTGATTTTTCACACAACATAAATAATATACAGTAACAAAAGCATACATACACAAAAAAAAAACTGAAACAAAAACAAGAATGAGATGTGGGCT